GGAGCCACCCCTGACCTCGGGTGGACCCCAGCAAACATTCACCCCAAAAGGGTCAGAGAAGCACTGGGCATGCCCCAGGGATGTATTTTCCTCATGATTTTCATCTCCTTCATAATTCATAGCAGGAAACCCAACTGGAAGTGTGATCCTACAAAACCCCCAGGAAATTCCCACACCCAGCTCACCACCAGCTCTCCAAACACTGTTCCAGCCACACAAAACTTGGATGTTGGTGATTTTTGGAGATAAAAATGTATGAAAATGGTGGAAAAGGATGAAACACCCTCCACAGCCTGAGCTGTGCTGAATTCCAGCCCATGGACACCCATCCCCCTGATGAAGGGGGGTGATCAATCACTAAATCCCTCCCAATAAATCAGCACTGAAGAAAAATCTCCTGGTTCCACACTTGAGTCTCCCAAAATCCAGGTTTTGTGCAGCCACACCAAGGATAATGAGCCTGGGAATGGGAATTTTGGGAATTTCTCAGTAAAATCCTCCTCCACCAGAGATCTGAGCTGGTTGAAGGCTTGGGCTGAGCTCAGCAGGGAGGGAGAACTCCACTCCAAGGGGAGGAAAAGCAGGATCCCAGCAGAGGAAATTCCCAGGAAAAACAAAAAAAGAAAAAAAAGAGATCCCGTGAGATTCCCCCAGTGTGCAGGAAATGTCCAGAGGCACGGGAGAAGAAATGGGAGGCTCAGGATTCATCCAGAATTAATGGAATGATGTTTGCTGCAGTCCTGACACAGGAGTCCTGTCCCTTCTGAGAGCAGAAATAACACCTCAGAAAGGGTTTTTGGAGCTACACAAAGTAATTCCTGTTCTTCTGCTCTAGGTCTGGAGGAGAGACGAGGGCTGAGATTGGAAAAAGCTGTGAGGGCACCAAACACTGCCCTCAATTCCCATTGCCAGGGGAAAATGGACAGGGATTGATCTTTCCCAGGCCAGGGCAGTCACACATGTTCAGGAAGGGCTTGTATTTAAATTTAAACCAGTGCAAAAATGTGAATAAATTCACAATAATGCATAAATAACACTAGATAGACCCAAACCTCGCTCCTCTGCCCCTGGGGGCTGAAATCCTGCTGGATAAGGGCCAGCCACAGCCAAAAAAAAAGGGGAAAAATCAGCATTCCTGGCACAGCCTCCCTGCCCTGATGAGCTGCTTGGGCACCTCCTGCCCTCCACACGAGATATCAAAGGGGCTTCGATTACAAATAATTACACTCACTTTTAATTACAACCCTGAACAAAGCGAGTGTTCAGCGGGGAGGGAAGGTCAGGGATTTCCAGAGAGCCGGGAAATGTGGGGAAGGGTCTGAGTGGGGACAGAAATCAGCCTGAGGGGCTGATTGAACCTCGAATGTGAGGGTGGGGAGGGGCTGGAAAGGGTTCCCAGGGAAGCTGTGGCTGGCTTGGGATCCCTGGAAGTGTCCAAGGCCAGGATGGACAGGGCTTGGAGCAGCCTGGGAGAATGGAGGAGTCTGGATGTGTTTGGAAGGGTCTGGAAGGGTCTGGATGTGTTTGAATGTTTCTGGATGGGTTTGGAAGTGTCTGGAGGTGTTTGGAAGGGTCTGGATGTGTTTGAATGTTTCTGGATGAGTTTGGAAGTGTCTGGATTTGTCTGGATGTTCCTGGATGTGTTTATAAGTGTTTGGATTTGTTTGGATGTATCTGGATGTCCCTGGATGTGTTTGGATGTATCTGGATGTGTCTGAAAGCATTTGGAAGTGTCTGGATTTGTCTGTATGTTTCTGGATTTTTCTGGATTTGTCTGGATGTTTCTGGATGTGCTTGGATTTGTCTGTCTGTTCCTGGATGTGTTTGTAAGTGTTTGGATTTATTTGGATGTTTTTGATGTGTCTGGATGTGTTTGGAAGTGTCTGGATTGCTCTGGATGCTTCTGGATGTTTCTGAAATAATTTGAAAATGTCTGGATTTTTCTGGATTTGTCTGGATGTTTCTGGATTTGTTTGGATGTTTCTGAAAGCATTTGGAAGTGTCTGGATTTTCTCTGTCTGTTCCTGGATGTGTTTGTAAGTGTTTGGATTTGTTTGGATGTTTTTGATGTGTCTGGATGTGTTTGGAAGTGTCTGGATTTGTTTACATGCTTCTGGATGTGTCTGAAAGCATTTGGAAGTGTCTGGATTTGTCTGGATGTTTCTGGATGTGTCTGGAAGTATGTGGAAGTGTCTACATATTTCTGGATGTGTCTGAAAGAATTTGGAAGTGCCTGGATATGTCAGGATGTTTCTGGATGTGTCTTGCTGTGCACACACACTCCGCCACCACGTCCCAGTTTTTCACCCGAGGGAGTTCCAGGGGGTTTCTTGTGGGTATCCTCAGTTCAGTCAGAGAGAAAACAAAGGTTTTTTAACCAGGCAGAAGCCTTGGAAACAGTTGGGAAAGAATGAAAATAATTCTTTATGTCTCTTGTTTTTCACATTGTTTATAGGTAAGTTCTGCCACTGTGCGTCATTCACTGCACACCACTGGGGTGAGATGTTTTTATTTCAGGAGCAATAGAACAAAGCTCAATAAAGAGTGTTATATTTAAAATAAATCAGAGTTCCACTCTCACCTTCTGACCTAGAGCCCTTTCATACCGTCCTGCCTCAACAAAGGAAGCAAAGACTCTTGACGATCCCGGGGTCACCCTGACCGAGAGGAAC